ATTAATTTAAAAAATAATTAATTAATAAAAAATGTTATTACTAAAAACAAATGAAGTGAAGGAAAAAAAAAAAAACATGCAAAGGCGTGCAGTATCTGCAGGTGCAATGCCACCACGGAAGCCGATGACAAACTGCGTCAAGAAGTCATTAACGGTGTTTGTTAGATTTGACGGAAGTTAGTTTTCCATCCAATTGGGACTTTATTTGAAAATTTCGTGGAGTTCGGGACCTTATTGCGTGCAATTGAGGTTTGGGTCCAACATTGTGAATTTTGTATAAGTTTGGGTCCTTATGTCATATTTATGCCTAGTTTAATTAATGTAATATTCACGATATATATGATGCACTAAAATCACCCTAACAAGTGTACTAGTTGCTCCAAGTAATATAATGATAAGGTATGAGGTATTAAGGTATTGACTTCACCATAATCAATCAATATAAATTCTGAATTAATATACTTTCAAAACCAATTTATTAATTGTTATTGCATGTGATGACAAATTTCTCTAAATTAACAAATTAGCTTTCTTAAGTCAAGTTAATTCTTCACTTATTTGTTAAATTAATCCCATCTCTATATAATTTTAAAGAAATTAATGAGTATTAAATTTTATGGAAATGTTTAGCTTAAGAAAGAGGAGCTCCTAACTTTCTTCTCTTCTTTTGCTACCACATGTGAGTTAATTACCTCTCGGTCTCATAGTCTAATACACGGTTTATATTATTATTGATCTAATTTACGCAATTCTTTCTTAAGTTCATGCATAAATCACTAAATCAATTGAAAGATGATCAGGTTTTCAATGCATTAAGTTTGATAATATAAATTCCTCATGCAAATAACTTTAATTGAAAGCATAAAATCACAAAATTTATATTAAATTGATTAGGCTACATTGTAGTCATAGTAGAATAAATTAGTTTATAATAAAAATAATAAAACTTGAAATTATAGTTATGAACATTCAAATATCAAATAATAGATAAAAAGAATTTAAAGAAAAACAAAACTCAATTTGAGAAAGTTACACTCCTTGATATTCTATTGTTGATGGATCATTTATCTTGATTTTCAAGAGTACTCAAAAGAGAGCTGTCACTAGCTTTCACCAAGCTCTCATAATTCTGAATTTGGATAGGTATTTATAAGGTATTAGAAACCCTAATTGGAATAAAAGTAAGATTTAAAACAGAATGGGAAAGTTGAATGTTGGACGCTGAACGTATGGTGCCAACACCCGAATTACGTGTCGACACAAAACACGAAACAAAAAGGTTGATTCTGGACTATTAACGCATGGTGTTGACACTACACTCGTGTCGAAGTTCTAGCTTCCTTTTGCAATTTCTTCAATGGTAAAATAACAGGTCTGTCCTCCAGATTTTGTACAATGAGCACTTAGATCATAGTAGTTTGAAAATCTGATCATGGCAATCAAAGGAAATGGTTAAATCATAGTAGTGTATACACTTTTCAAATTTTAAATAAAATTAATCCCTACACTTAAACAAGCTTTACTAAAAAATTTACAACAAAAAAAAAAGGTATGAATCCTATTAGCAGACATTCCAAAACCCCATCATGGTTTTCATCTTTCAAGAAATCCATTAAACATCATTTTCCAAATTTCTCCCAACTCATCCCAAAATCAAAATAAAAAATTAAAAGGGCAAAAAAGTCTAGATGTATATTTTCAACATTAATACCCTTGTATTTTCTAATGCGAGCAAGTATAATTTTTTGTATTGATCTAATTATAAGAGGAAGAACCTGTAAAGCTGAAATGAAATCTATTTATAAATTAGATAAGGACAAAATTTTAGATATGCTTTAAATCAATTTTAGTTCTAAAGATTTATTAATTAGGGGCAAAAAAAAAAA